TAAAAAAAGCGTTTTTCAGCCATAGATTCTATCGCCTTCAATTAAAAAATCTGAAAAAATTCAAGTTTATGTATTTTGACTTGAAAAACAAGAAAAAAATTTTTCCAGATTTTTTAAGGCTTCGTATCGCCTTAAAAAAATTATTTTCGTAAAAAAAGGGGGTTTTTCGGCTATAGACGCTTGCGTTCTGTCTGAAAAAATCTGAAAAAATTTGAGGTTATGTATTTTGATGTCAAAAATTAGTGGAAAAAAATATCGGGCTTTGTATTGCATCGTAGCGTCGTGTATGAATTTTCAAAATTTTCAATGATTTTTTCTGAAGGCCTGAAGCACTCAAAAAATCTAAAAAAATTCAAGGTTGTTTGGATTGTTGAAAAGTATTTTTATGAATTTTTTCAGATTTTTTAATTTTTTGATGTCCTCAGAAAAAATAGAGATCGAAAATGGACGTTTATACCGGAAGTGGGGGGTAGGAGGGGGGAGGGGGTCTAAAATTTTGTTTTTGGGACCTTTTTACTATGTACTATAACATACCAAAAACGCGTCAAGATCGGTGACATAGGAGCGCAGGTTTATTTAAAAAATTCTGAGCCTTACCCCTATACAATACTCGTCGTTTTGCACTTACGTTATGATGCTTCTTATACGAACAAAATGGTCCGATTAAAATAACAGTAAGACAATCGATCGCACACCACCTGCTCGGAAAGTCACTTCTTTAAGCTGCGAGGCATAAAAGTACTAAGTTCCTATCTTGTAGGACTTAGTACCTTTTTGCTACAGACCTTAAATGCCTTCCAACACCGGGGCGACGGACATCGACGGACAGCATCAGCTGGTACAAGTTAGACCGTATTCGCTGCACTACTGGGGAATATCCCTTCCGAATTGACTAAATTCAGACGCCTTCTCTCAAAGACGTAGGTGCCCATCCGAATTTAGGCGACTCAGAAGGATTGACTCCTTCGAGATAGACGACGTGACGACGTTGTCAGGAATATCCCTTCCGAATCGTCCAAATTCAGAACGGCGCTTTCTCTCAATGACATAAGCGCCAATCCTACTTTAGCCGACTCAGAAGGATTGACTCCTTTGAACTTTTCCTGCGAGATGAAAAGCTTGACTTGGGCCGGGCTCGAACCAGCGACAATATACCTTCAACCGGCGAATGCTCTATCCACTAAGCTATCAAGGAACTTCGATAAATCGATCGTTACTAGTATACAAGAGTGATAGATGTTATTTACTCTCATTGTTTATATTATGTCAGGCGTCTACCTACCAGGCGCCTAACTCTTTTCAACCATGGGCACAGTTATGTATTTCAAATTTATTATAAATACGCGTTTCGAATTTATATTAAATGTTTTATCGCTAGTAAACATGGTATCTTTTTTTGTATCAAACTTTCATCGAGACAGTTCACAATTGATGCAAATTATAATTACTGAAACTCGCCGGCAAATGCCTATTCCAAGACGATTTACCACGAAAGATGAATACTGATTTACATTTCATTGAAATGATGGTGATCATTTTTTTATACCTAATTGAGTTCGAACATCACAAATAGCAAATTGATGCCTAGGACAAAATCGGTCAGACATCGATGAACTTAAAAGTGCAGGTGAAACTTTTCCTGCTTGATGTCGATGTACTTTTAGATCTGTATTTGTTTTTCCCACTTCGAGTCAGAATTTCGGGCAAATTTAGAGAAACGATACCCTGACGATAATCAAATTGTTCGCTTAGTATGAATTGTTTAAACAGTCAGAGGATCTTGTTCACCTTTTGCATCTAAAATTTTATCACGACGACAAAAGATTTATAAGGGTACAAAAAAAAACAATCATAATTCAGAGAGCATTCCGATTTGATCCGGTTACGATCCGAAGACGCGGGAAAACGACAACGTAATACAAACTACTTCTTTATTCTATCTGTGTTTATACTGATACCTTAATATTGAGTTTATAGGAAAAATTTATAGGATAAAGAAGTCTTGAATTTTATTGAAAAACCACCCCAAATATTTTTAGAATTTTTAAAGATGATATCGGGAAGTCAGATTTCCCGTTCCAAAAATTGTAAAATTCGTCTGAAAAATTCTTTAAAAAAATTAAAGGGTGCTCTCTTTTCTATCACGTAACAAGTGGATCCGTACAAAGGAGAACGAGCGCAAATTGCGTATACGATGTGCAAAATTTCCCGCGCGCGGAGTCCGTTACAGAGAGAAATTATATAGTGACACAGTTAAGTAACCTAAGGGGGGGGGGGGGGGGGGG